CTTCTTCTGGTTGTATGTTTTGATCTTCTTTGTCACCAAAGTAAGATAATATAGTCTGACTCTTTTTGCACTGCTTACTCATGATCCCAGGTCAATTATTTGAGTTTTAAACTCTTTGTTAAGAGTCTGCTTCCAATGTGGAGAATATACTGTCCCAAGCTTCGGGGTTTGTACAGCTGTTTTCAGAGATACTTCTAGGGACCTGTAAATTTTCAGTTTTTCCAAGGCACTATGATAAGGGGCGAGGTGTTTCCTCTCCACCACCACAACAAGCTCCACCATGCCAGGGCTCCTCCTCACCCCAGGACTACCCCTCAGAACTGTGACCCAGATCCAAGCACAGGCAAAGCAAGAGATTCCTGCCTCAGCACTGGCAGAGAGATTCCTGCAATCCCCTTCTGATCAGCCACTCGATTACCCCTCAGCCTGGGCTGGAAGCTCAGCAGGCAACCATGGACCGTGCTTGGGATTTATGGCTGAAACCTAGCTTCTAACTGTCACCGCAGTCATAGACTTTTCCCATTGACCTTCTAAGTTGTCTTTGGCATTCATGGGTTGAGAAGTCTGGAAACCACCACAGCTACCCGTTATTCAGTCCTCTGAGGCTTGCTCCAGGTTTGGTGAGGCCTGCACGCCCACACTGTACTGTGCTCCTCTCCCTGCCCGGCGAGATACACCTTTCTGATCAACCATCCAGGTTGTCTTGGGCTGGAAATTTGTTTTACTCTGTCTTTTTGTGGGTTCTGCTGCTTTAGAATTTCTTTGGAACCAGTTTTTTTACAGGTATTTGGGGAGGTTTGGGGAAGAGTTCAAGCAAGTCACTGCTTTCACTCTGCTATCTTGGCTCCGCCCCCCCCCGAAATCAGAAATCTTAAACCTTTATCTTCAATATTTTCAAAATTGAGTTACCTCTAGCACAAGATTCTTTCCCCACCTTGGTCCAGGCCAGATGTTTCATTTCCTTTCCTTCATATTACACACTAGAGACTCAGAGATTGGAGTTCAAATATGTTTGATTCCACCACTATCATCGTTGATGAAAATAATTTGTTCTAGAAATGCTGCCAGATCTGTTGTCCTGCTTCTAGCTTCATCTAGATGCTTTGGGGATGACTTGACTGAGTTTGGTCTTATGCCCAGCTTTCTGTAAGTTTCTTTTCCTCTCTACTGTTCTTTCGTGTTTTGAGCCCACCCAAATTCCAATAAGGCACAACTGGACAGCTGGAATTCACACTTTTCTGCTTCATTGTCTTCTGCTACTTATTAACTGGCAAACACTGGAGAATTTCCTTAATATAGTATGAGTGTTCCTTTGGGTATTATGAGAAAATTCAATCACCATCCAAGCCTGTGTTAGTCCGGTAGCATGATGAAGTAGAAAGAGCTCTGGATCAGGGGGCCAAAGGGCCTGGGTTTGAGCCCCAGCTCTGTTACGTACCACCTAGATGCCTATTACATGTCATTTCAGTTCTTGGACCTTCAGTTTCCTCATCTTTGAAATGAGAGGGTTTGACTGGATGATTTTAAAGTTCCTTCTAATTTCTTTGATCCTGTGATCCCATATCTGCCAGACCTTCATTTAATAAAGCACCAGGAGCTGGCTCAGAGCATGGGCCAGAAAGAGAAGCATGGGACAGAACTCATTGTTCTAAAACAGTCACGGAGCACCATTTCCCATTTGTGCCCAAGGCACAGCTGAATTAAATTATAGGCACCCTGGAGATGTAGCTGCTTGTACACCTGTGTGTCCCCTATCCCCTGCCAAGAACATCAGAGTAGCAGGAAGGGATATTGCTTATAAATATTTGTTTCATTTAGTTGCCTATGAGAACAATTATGTGCATATTAAATCAATTTAAATAATAGATAATGAATAATTGGCATGCCTATACCACTTTCCAGTTACAAAACACCTTACATCTGTTTACCTCTCAGCCACTCTCAGTGGTGTGCTGGTAAATGTTTAACAACCAGCTCTCCAGGAAAGGGGGGGAAAATCCTGTATATAGGACTTTTAAAGTTTAATCTATAATCTTAACATTTTCTCCATCATTTTCTTAAGTCTAGACATTCAATAAAACAATCAAGCCCTAATTTATCACAGTTGCTTTCTGACGTGCAAATGCTCACATTGAAAACCAAACAATGGGTTTTTTTGTTTGTTTGTTTGTTTGCTGTTCTGGGACAAGCTGGCTCTAGCACATGCATCCCTGTGACCACTCTGGTTCTGTCCACATGCAGGAGACAGGGACTGGACCTGTGATTGCATCGATATAGGGAATCCCTAAATGAAGAAACTCCCTCTACCAATACAGGTCGGCACCTTCTCTGCAATTTATAGTCTTAGAAAGTTGCCCAGAACCCTGAAAGTTTAAGTGATCTGCTCACCGTCCCACAGCTAGTTATCAGAAGTGGGACTTGAACCCTGGCCTTCCTTGCTCCAAGGCCAGTGCTGTAACCTCTATACCACACTGCCTCTCATGGCCAACCAGGATCTGTCTGCATAATTTGCTGCATAGAAGCACCAGCCTAACTAACCTCCTTAAGTAGTCACTAGACACAGTCAGCAAACTTAGCAGCAGTTAGGTGGCACAGTAGATAGATAGAGTATTGGACTTGAAGTCAAGAAGACCAAAGTTCAAATCTAGCTTCAGACACTTACTAGTTGGGTGACATTCCCTGGGCAAGTCACTTACCCTCTTTCAGCCTCAGTTTCTTCTTCTGTAAAATGGAGATAATATTTCTTTTTACTATCATTCTAAATTCTCTTTCTCTCCACCCCTTCCCCACCCATTGAGGTGAGAAATGTGATATCCTTTATACATATGAAGTCATGCAAAACATTTCCACATTAGCCCCATTATAGGGTTGGGGGCATAAGAAAATTAATTAAAGAAAAAAATATGCACCAATCTGCACTCTGAGTCCATCAGTTCTCTCTCTGGAGGTGGATAGCATTTTTTTTTATCCTGAGTCCTTTGGAATTGTCTTGGATCATTGTATTACTGAGAATGACTAGGTCATTCATATCTAATCATCGTTACAATATTGCTATTACTGTGTACAATGTTCTCCTGGTTCTGCTCAGTTCACTTTGTACCAGTTCATGTCAGTCTTCCCAGGTTTTTCTGAAATCATCCTACTCATCATTTTTTTTCCACGTTATTTATTTATTTTTAGTTTCCAACATTCACTTCTATAAAATTTTGAGTTCTAAATTTTTCCCCTCCCTCCCCTCCACCCTCCCCAAGATGGCATGCAATTTGATATAGGCTATACATATGCAATCATATTAAACATATTTCCACATTGGTCATGTTGTGAGAGAAGAATAAGAACAAAAGGGAAAAACCGTGAGAAAGAGAAAAAGAGAGAGAGAGCAAACAGTCTGCTTCGTTCTGCATTCAGACTCCATAGTCCTTTCTCTGGATGTGGACAGTATTTTCCATCATGAGTCTTTTGGAATTGTCTTCTGCTCATCATTTCTTATAGCACAATAGTTAGTATTCTATCACAATTATATAAAAATGGAGACAATGATAGCACCTACCTCCCAGATTCACAGCGAGGAACAAATAAGATAATAAATGTAAAGTACTTTGTATCTTGACATGGTAGATAAATGCTAGCTGTTATTACATAGTGACCCTTCAACAAGCCAATTTATTAAACACTGAGGGGTGAGATGCTGGGAATCTAAAGACAAAACAGAAAATATTCCTGCCCTATGAAGCTTACCTTGTACAGGAAGGGTTCGATATTTATGAAATCAAGTATATAGCAGGTAAACTGGGAAAGGAAAGAGTGTTAAAAACTAGGGGAAATCAGGGAAGGCTTCCAAGATGAGGTGGTACCAGAGATGAGACTTGAAGGAAAATAAAGATTTAGAGAGGTGAAGAAGAGGTAATGTGTTCCAGGCATAGAAGAACAGGGACAGAGATAGGCCCTGGACCTGTGATGTCATTGTTACAGGGAACTCCCAGGTAAGGAAACTCCCTCTGCCAGTGAAGGTTACACCTTCTTTGTAACTTGGAAGGAAAACTCGAGGTAAGAGATGAAATGTTTTGCTCAGAGAGCAGCTGGCAATGCAGTTTGGCTGGAACATAGAGGCTCTGAATGAGAATAATGCTAAATAAGCCTGAAAAAGTAGGTTGGAGTCAGCCTGGGGAGGACCTTAAATGCCAAGTGGAGAAGTTTATTTTCTCTTATTTTAGGCAATAAGAAGACAGTAGCAGTCTTTGAGCGATGGAATGACATGGTTTTTTCCTTTGCTTTCAGAAGATTATTTTGGCAGCAATGGGGAGAGGATGGCTCTGAAAGGGGAGAAATTTGAAGCAGGCTGAGACCAGTTACTGAAATAATTGGCTATTGCAACAGCCCAGGCAAAAGCCATTTAGGGTCTGAACTAAGCAGGGGGCCATGTGAAGAGTGAGAAGAGGAAGGGTCTGAGAGATGTTCAGAGGAAGCAGGAGCCCTGAGACTTAACATGAGCCAGATTGGCGAGGTGGGGGAGGAGAAGAAGGAGAGCCTAGGATTACTCTGAGGTTACAAAACCAGAGAATCCTTCTGCCCTCAATAGAAACTGAGTGGTTTGGATGAAGGGCATGGGTACTGGGGGAGGAGCTGAGCTGCTTTTTAGTCATGCTGAGTTTGAGATGCCCCTGGAACATCTCAAGCTTAACCAGAACAGTTAAAAACCTCTCACTTACCACTTCCTGGCTCATTTGCAAGGCCTTGGGCCCTTCTTTCTTGCTTAAGTTTTTGGGGATTTGGGGGGCTCTTTAAAAGCTTCTTTTTTTAGCTTACATTGAGATTGCTTCACATGAAGGCATTTAGGTCACTGTTTCTCTTCTTTTTGAATTCATCTGCTCTTAGAACCTACCTGCCCTTCCCTGATGCCCAACAATAGTACTGATGTGCTAACATTTTCCCCAACACTCACTATGAGATAGAGTCTTGCTCAGCACTCACTCAAATGCTGTTAAGGTAGACATGCTCACCAGCTTTCCGTCCTGCTGGGGTGTCCAGAAACGCTCCAACAGCATTCTGAATCTGCAAATCGGATAGACGAGAGCAGCTAAACACCCAGGGAGAAAGTCAATTTATACCTTACATTTTAAAGAGAGCCCTTGATCATAACACCTTTGAACCTGTGTCCTGGGTGTGATCCCTCTAAAAGAAGAGGACCCTAGCTTTTTGGAGGAGTTATTTATTTTTTCAAAGTCTTGAGAACAGCAGCAGCAGAGGTGGGGTGCTGCTGACACTGATGAGGAGGGGGGTGGTGTAGTACATAGGGTGGGGTGCTAGATTCAGTGTCAAAGGGTTGAGTTTCAATCACTGACCACCTGTGTGACTCTGAGCAAGTCAATCTCTCTGGACCTCATTGCCTTTTCTGTAAGGGGAGGGGAAGTGGCTTGACTCAGGGACCTCTAACTGCCTGCTCCTATCTAGAATCAGGTCCTAGGTGCAGAGGAAGAGAGCGGCCAGCAAGGAAGTTCAGAATGCGCCACCATTATTGGCTGTCCTCTCCTTCCCCTGGGAATCCCAGCAAATCTTGGAACAGACAACAGGAAAAGAGCCTGAAAGGGGAAAACGAATGTGTGGATATTTGTAATATCTACTAGGTAAGGTTTCCAGATTGCAGGGCAGACCAGACTCCACCCAGCTCTCAGTCAAGTGTTAAATTTGCAGTGTGAGCATTTACATCTGAGAAAATGGCAAATTAGGGCCCGATTTAGCATTCTGTACATTGTCTAGACTTAAGAAAGTGATGGTGAAAATGTTAATAATAATGATGAAATTTAAAAGTGTGTCAATCATATTTTTTCTGGAGAGCCCACTGGTAAACATTTAACTAACACACCTTTGGGTGGATCCCTATCTAAGGGTAAGCAGTCTTAGTGCGGAGAACTGGCTACGATCAAGGAGCTCCAGTACCTCCCCAATTTAACTAGGATCTCCAGTGCAGATACTCCCAAGTGAGTTTGAGCCACTTAACTTGCTTCCTAAAGGAATGCTTTTCAAAGATTTTCTTTTCCCATTGTTGCTGTTTCCCCATTATTTCATATTTATGCAATACAAAAGCCATGGCCAGCATTATCCAGAAGCAGTGGGTGCTCCCAAAGCTCTGGCATCCCTTTAGCTCCTATTAAATGGAAACGAGCCATATCCTCTGTAAAGAACCCACCGTGGTTCATAGAATCACAGCCCCAGAGCTGGAAGGGACCAAAGAAACTATCTCATTTAACGCCCTCATTTAGTCAATGAAGAAATGAGTCCCAGAGAAGTTAAGTGACTTGTCCAATGTCACACAGGGAGTATCCCAGGTAAGATTTGAACCCAAGTCCTTTGACTCTACAGCTAGTGTTCTGACCACTGTACCAGGTGATCTCAAAGACAGACCTTCCTCTCTGCAATGAAGTCATTGGGACAAGCTCTAAATAAGGGCCTTTATTTCTAGGATTGGTTGAAAAATACCTTGTAGATAAACCAAGAGAATGGACTCACATGGACCAAACAGATGGAGGGCTGAATGAGCTCCTGGAGCAGTGGGATTTGAGAGGAAGGATTTTAAGGCTGAGGGCTGGCCAGTCATTTTTTCCATTAGTAGTCTGGTATCTAAACACCCTTCCCCCATCTCCTCTAACTCCTCCCCTCCATCCCCTTCCCCTCCCCCACTCCATCTCTCCTTACCACAGGAAGTGGAATCTTTCCATTAATATCCAGAAGCCATTCTTTAAACTGCACGGCCAGAGCTTCCTTCCGCATCTTACCCACATGAGTCTTGATTTTGTTGATATTTTCTCTCTGCTCTCGCTTTTCTTTGACTTCTTTCTTCATCTTGAATACTCTAAAAGATACAGGCATATAAGATTGGGAAGCCACTTCATCTGACCTGGCTGAGAACACTTCAAGCTCCTGTTTCTCCCCAGCAGAGAAGCCTTCCCTAATCATTACGGTCCTTGGGAACCCCTGCCTCTTCAGATCCCCTGTAGCACCTGTGCATATCACTGATTTAATTCAATGTTTAGAATTGGAAAGAAGCTTGGAGATCATCATGCCCAACTCTTTCATCTTACAGATTAGGAAACTGAGGCCCAAAGACATTAAGTGATTTGGCAAAATCACGTAAAAGTCATTAGTAGAGGTGAAATTCAAACCCAGGTCCTCTGACTCCAAATCCCATACTCTTTCCACTATACACCATACCCTTTATTATACAACTATTCATGTGTTTGTTTTTTTAATCCCTACAACAAGGTTATAGCCTGTAAAAGGGTAAGAACTGGACCTTCTGATTTTTTGCAGCAGTGGTCCTAATTCTTTTTATGACTAGATTGGCTGTACCAACAGTGGCCCCCACCAGCTTCCCTGTATCAGATCTATAGAGGGTATCATGGATGTGGAAAAGGGAGGTCATAAGATCCCATAATCCTAGTTTTAATGTTGAAGTTACCTTACAGACCATTGAGTCCAATCTCCTTATTTTATAAATGAGGTCATTGAGGCACAAAGAGAGTAAGTGACTTGCCCAAGGTCACACAGCTAGTAAGTGTCTAAAATGAGATTCAAATTCTGTTCTTCCTGCCTCCCAATCCAGTACCTTCTCTCTAACAGATATAGTACATCATGATCCCTAAGCTACAAGCTATTTCTGTTTCTTTGCCTCACACAGCACAGCAATAGAAATACACAGTTGGTTCTCAATAACCATTTTTGAATGCATAAATTAATTGCTTGCTCCTTGCCTCAAGGAGACTAAGTGGCTTTATTTCAGTCATCTCTGTATTTCTTAGGTTGCTCTAAAGCTGTCAAGCCCTTTGAGTAATAGACTGTTGAAATAGATAAATTCGCACTTTAATCAATCATCAAGCCATGCAGCAACCACTGTTCTAGGAGTCAAAGTTATAAAGACAAAAGTGAAATGGTTCCTGTCCTCAGGAAGCTTCTGTCCTATCAGAAGAGACAGACTATATATGTATGTATATATGTGTGGGTATGTTTATATGTATGTGTGCATATATGTATGTATATATGTGTATGTATGTATATAAAAATAAAATATGAGGTAAATTGGGGTGAGGAAAGTACTAGTCACTATAGAGATTAGGAAAGGCTTTACACAGAAGGTAGCACTTGAACTGAGTCTTGATTTAGTGCAATGGAAAGTGTGATGGATTGGTAGTCAAAGTCTCTGCCACTTACAACCTGTCTGACTCTGACAAGTCACTTAACCTCTCTGGGTCTCAGTTTCCCTCTCTGTAAAAAGAGAGGTTTGGAATTGACAGTTTCTAAGATACCTTCCAGCTCTCAATCTAGGATCCTAGGAAAGAGAGTGATTCAATCAACTGTTAACAATTCAATTCAATCAACTAATAAGGATTTATTAAGTACCTACTATGCACCAGGCACAGTGCTTGGTACTGAGGATACAAAGACAAGTTAACAAACACTAAGTACCAAATATGTCCCTTGAATGGTATTAGATACTAGGGATACAAAAACAAAGCATCCCCCACCCTCAATAAGCTTACATTCTACCATGGGAGGAGGGAGGAGAGAGACACAACATATATACAAGTCAATATAAAGTATTTATAAGGTAACATATTTCAAGAGGAACGAGTGCAAATAACTAGGTGAGGGGAATCAGAGATGGAATGTTCTAAATGGGGAACAGTTAGCATGCAACTTTGACTGGAGCATAGGGTGAATAAGACATGGGACCTGAAGGTGAAGGACTTGAAGTGCTTGGTTGAGTATGTCCTATTTCATCCTAGCAGAAAGAGGAGATTCTTGAAGATTTTGGAGGAGGAGTCATGACACAAACAGGTCTATGTTTAAGGAATATCAATTTGGTAGCTGTTTGAAGGATGCTTTGGAGAGGGAGGAGAAAAGAGAGGGAGGGAGACCTATGATGAGGCTATTGAAATAGTCTAAGGAAGAGGTAAACCAGGAGAGAAACTGTGAAGGAAGAAGAGAATGGAAGCAGAGACAGGATAAAAAGATTTGACAACTGACTGGATTTGGTGATGGAGGGAAAAGGAAGAGTCAAGGATGATAACAAGTTTGTGAACTTAGTGGCTTGGAAGGATGACGCTGCCATCAACTGTGATGGAGAAATTTGGAGAAGGGATGAATTTTGGGGGAAATACAGTTGGTTCCTACCAAGAGTCCCTACTTAACAAATGGAGAAAGTGCTATATGTAATGTAGGACAGTTTTCCAAATTGTGAGACATATTCCCCTGGAGGCAGGAGACCATCTCAGGAGAAGCCTGAAAGAAAGAAGGAGAGGAAGGAAGGAAACAGCATGTATGAAGCACCTACTGTGTGCTTTTACAAATATTATTTCATTCCATTTTCACAACAACCTTGGGAGAGAGGTGCTATTATTATCCCCATTTTACAGTTGATGAAACTGAGGCAAACAGAGGCTAAGTGACCTGCCTAGTGCCACACAGCTAGTAAGTGTATGAGGCTAGATTTGAACTCAGGTCTTCCTGACTCCACACCCAATGCTGAAATTACTGGATTGTTTTGAGCATGACTCCTACATAAATTTATCTACTTTTTTTTTTCAGTGAAAACAAAATTCAAATAAATGTGAACAAAAGCAAGACAAGTATAGAGAATTCTATCCAACTGACTGTAAAGATACCTCAATGTTTATTTACTATAATTTAATTTAGAGGCAGTTAGGTAACTCAGTGGATAAAACGCTGGGACCTGGAGTCAGGAAGAACTGACTTCAAATCCACTCTTAGACAATTACTAGCTGTGGGACTTTGGGAACGTCACTTCATCTCTGTTTGCCTCAATTTCTTCATCTGTAAAATGGGGATCATACTATTATCATTCCCATGCTCCAGGGTTGTTATGAGGATCAAATGAGAAAATAATTATAAAGTACTTAGTGTGGTGCCTGGCACATAGTAGGTGCTATATAAATTCTAGCTGTTAGCTATTATTGCCATAATATTATTATTGTTTAAACCCAATAAAATTTGAGCTGTACATATTTAATCTCACTGTGAATAAGATATGCCATCGTAACTATCAACCGGCTTAGGCTCATGATGCAGATGAATTGGGTAGTCACACTGTGTGCTGCATTTGAAAGTAATTTTCAAGTTAAATGATCTTTGTGTGGAAGTTAAAAATATCTAAATGTTTGTAATATTTCTCAACATAATTCATTTTGGCAAGTGTAATATAATAAGCTGGTTTCCCAGAGAAACCCTGCAACTTTTTAGAAACTGAAATAACTTGAGACTGGTTATAGAGAATCATTTGTGATCTTCAACAATTAAATTCAAACTGATTGTCTTAAACTTTTTGTCTATGATTTTCAAAAGTAAAATAATGTCCCTTTGTAGAGGACAAATACATAACGGGTTTCAGAAAAAGAGTCACTGGCACCACTGAAGCCATGAAGACACACAGACAGTTAAGACAATGTAAGTGACAGAAATACAGAAACACAAAATAAAAAGTCCAAACCCAGAAAAGGCCATTTTTCTGTTTATCACTGGGATTCCCATGTACTGTTAGGGATGGAGAGGAAAGACCACTGGTGTTACCTTTGGACAAAAGCTTTAGTCACAGGTAGCATAAAACTTAATGAACTTAAATGATGTCCTCAAAGTGTATATTCAGCATACGCTGGCAAAGCAAGAGAATCTATCCAAAGAAAATCAGATGCTTTTGACAAGCAAAAATTAAATTTTCAAAAGAACCATGTCTTTAAATTCAACAGGATCAAAAGGGGTCCTTACATTTAGCAACTTGACAGCTAGAGACCACAGTGGATAGAGCACTAGGCCTGGAATCATGTAGACCTGACTTCAAATCCAGCCTCGTACACTTACTAGCTGTGTGACCCTGGGCAAGTTGCTTAACTTCTGTTTGCCTCCATTTCCTCATTTGTAAAGTGGTGATAGTGACACCTACCTCCCAGGTTTGTTGTGAGGATTAAATGAGATAATATCTTTAAAGGACTTAGTGCAGTGCCTGGCACTTAGCAGGTGCTTAAAAATTCTTCCCCTCCTTTCCCTTAACTTTCCCTTTCTTCATTCACAGACAGAGCTTGGAGAAAGACTAAGCATGAATGTGACTATGTCAGTTTCACATATTTTCCATTAAGATTATTCTCCATTTATGCACAGACCATTCTCTTAGAGATGAGAAATAGGTGTGCTAATCACTTCTTACTATTATTCTCTCATAATAATACTATCCATTATATCCATTTGGTATGAATTTCCCCTTCTTTGAGATATTCTAAAAATTGATCTCTGGATATTATCAAATTTTGTGGCCTCCAGAATTAATTTCCTCTGCATGTGGGGGCCATCTCCAGTCGTTCTGATCTATATCTTGCCACTGGACCCAGATGGCTCTGGAGGTGAAAGTAAGGCTGGTGACCTTGGATAGCCCTCCCTCACTTAAATCCAATTCACTTGCAAATCATGGCATCATCTTCCTGATGTCATGGTCCTCTTTGAGAATGAAGAACATACATAAACAATATAAATATGAACATGCACATGTATTTTGCAAAGTGTGTTCACCTTTCCCAATGACACTTTCTTGAGGGCCATTTCTATTTAACAGCATAATGGATGCTGAACTTGTAGAGGTTAAATACCATGGTCTATGCATATATTGAAAATATTGCCACAGCTAGGAGGCCAAAGAATTTGGAAGATAACAAAAATAGATAAGAAATTGAGCAAAATTTCCAGCATTTCGATAGCTATCTTGCCTCATCATTCATAATAGTGGATACTATGTCAAATAATGATGATGACAGCAGGCATCTTAGTTTTACTCCTGATTTAACAGTAAAG